TTTATACATTGGTTCACAATCTTAAGACAATTTTTAAAATGAGGAAACTGATCTGGAAGTGATCAACAGTTTTGTCTAGCATGTTAACAATGATAAGTAAGCATTACAAAATCTCAGTTCAAAAATTTTACAAGAAACCTGGAGAGGATTATGGCCATAATGAAGTTGGGAAAAATTCTACTTGAGACTAGACATTCTTTTTCTGAGCTGGAAGGTAAGAATGCTTTGTAGAGACACTTATCAATCCACATTACTTATAGTGCACCTTATAAAGACATTGCAAAGAAGGAAAAAGATATTCTCTTACCTAGCTGTCAGTGAATCAAAAAAACTCTTCAGTCTTTGCAGTCTAGAACATGCAAATATGAGCAGTACTGACATCTTTCAGGGCCCTACGGCAAAGGGGCTGGCATACTAGCCAAAACTTATCTCAGGAACATGAGTTATAAAACAACAGGAACTGAGACTAAGGAAATTAGGGTGACAGAGAATATGCCATTTTCTTTTTGCTTTCTCCCCAAATCCTATGGTAAAGGGACTGAGAAACGTGGAGAACCCTGAGGACAGGGAGGAAAGAGGACAAGAAAAAAAAAACTAGAATCTGGAAAGCTGAAAGGCATGGTAACCAACGTGGAGGACGTAAAACTACATCAAAATCCACTTTCCAAGCTGATGGCAGAAAATAAACAAACAGATACATAAAACTGATTCACAAACAGAACCATAAATTTACAGAATCTGTAAATCCAGATTTATACACAGAACCCTTCAAAATCATATAAACTTCTGAAGCAGGACATACCTCTGACACAGGGACAAGATACGTGAGGAAGAAGAGATTGCAAACATGTGGAGAATCAGGGGGAAAGTCTTCTAAAAAAGAGGTGGAGATTCCTAGACTCTTTCCCCTTCATCCCACAGCCCCCGGGTGATTGCCTTTCTCCAACTCTAGCAGAAGACTACTCTTCAGAAAGGATAAGACAGAAAGCCTCTGTACGGGTCAGCATGAGGCACAGCTGAAGGCATGGGTAGGTAGATACCATTCAAATACACATAGTTGATTCTCAATATTTGTGCTAGTACCATCCCATACATCCCTGCAAGCACTAAATGTGCAAATACTGACATTACTCCTGGGGGAATACAAAGTTAAGCTGCTCTGAGCCTCTGGGTCACATTTTAACCTTCCTTTTTGTATCTGTTGTAAGACACCTTAAATATAGTTGATTCAACAACATTGAACTCATAGCCAACCACACACTTCAAGCTGGCATGAAGCTTATCTAACATATTTTAGATAATGTTTTAGGCATATTTTCTCCATAAGGCACATGACAGTCCTGCAACACTCTGCTTGGGAGCCTTTTAAACAGTGAGACCATCGAGAGAGAGCCCATCATTATGAAAAGCAGGGCATGAAGTAGACCATAAAATGTTCACTTGTTTACAGTGGGACAGCTGAAACAAGGAGGCAGAGCACCACATCATGCTACCCGACCTGGGAGCATGGGTGTTAGATGACTCAACTTTTAAACTGCTATGTACATGCCTGTGAACGACTGTGAAAGCACCTTTGACTATTGATTGAAGGTTACAAATTTTATCGAGTAGGTGAATTTGCAAAGAGGAACTCCATGGTTAATGAGGATTAACTGTATATGCAACATATGTGTACATAATCTAGTGATTAAGCTCATTTACAGTGATGTTGAAAGCAGAAAATATCCCACACCCACCTTCCTCTACTTGGCTCACAGAACTCTGCCTGCCAGACCCTTACTCTCAAGGCAGAATGCAAGCTTTCTGGAGACTATAATCATTCCATGGAGAAAGAGCTAAAGATACTGATGCTGGGAAGATTCAAGAAACAGCTCACCCCAGACCACCCTACAATAAAAGCTCAAAATCATCTGATGCTACCCATCCATTCAGTCTCCAGTGTCTTCTTCCTCCAATCTTAACTATGAACAAAAGACAGGAATTTCCTAAGATCTGAGGGAAGTCTCCAGCATGTAAGCTCATAGTAAACATTATAAAGGAGAATTAAAGCTCTTAGAAATTAAAAGCCTTACATGAGAAATACTCAACAGCAGGCTGGCAGGTAGAATTAGGGGAATCTCTCCAAAAGTAGAGTAAAACGACATAGAAACACAGAAACATAAGCAAATTACAGTACCTGTCCAGAAAATCCTACTCCAAAACAGAAATTCAGGAGAGAAAGGAGAAAATACAAGGAAGAAAATAAAAATAATTTTAAACTATTTCCAGAAGTGAAAGGACATCAGTCTCCTGATTGAGAGGATCCAGCACAAGTGAAAACAAATCTACACCAATAAATATTATTGCAAAATTTTATAACACTGGAAACAGATTCTATTGACTTAGAAAAAAGTTAACTTACAAAATATCAGGAGTCAGAATGGCTTCAGATTCACAAACAATAAAAACAAAAATATGCAGGGAAAAATTTTCTAAACTTCTGATGGAAAATAATCTGCAATCTAGAGTTTTATACCCAACCAATCTACCAATCAAATATGGGGGTAGAACACATTTCCAGACATGTAAGCTTTCAAGACTACATCCTATGTTCTCTGTCTCAAGAATTACTGGAGGACATATACTCCACATGGTGAGTAAAAGATACAGCGAACAGGCATTCAACACAAGGGGGAGAGAAGGACGACAGCTGGGCCTCAGAACTAGAGAAGCAACCAGTTCAGACTGGAGGAGAGTGACTAAAGACACAGATATGCTGAAGGCGGTCATAACCTAGATATCCACAGCCTTTGTAATCTAAGGATACTATTTCCTATATATATATCTGGCTCTCATTCTGTTCTGTACTTGGTTTACTTGACCAAATCCCAGAAAAGTGCCTATTTTTTCTTCATGCTGATGTCTAGATCAGCTGAGGGGACTCATCTCACTCCACAGGAAGGCTCTGCACTCATCTCTTCAGAGACGGAGAGAGGTCAGGCTAAGTGGAGAAGCAGAAAAAAGAAAACGACTAAGCAGACAACCACTAAGCCTATTTTGGCAGGAGATCCAGGATGCTCCAACTGCGGTGACTTGTGTTCCCAAGACTCACTCATCACCCAGCTCAGACATCTACACACGGGGTTCCTTAAAACTCTAGGAGCTGAAGTAAGACTCAGACTACTCAGCTATCTTCTCGAGGATGTCTTGATCAAACAGTCACTGAACTAGACTTGTGCTTCTCAGCTGTTCAAAGCTAAACAAGATATTGTGTTCACAGGGATGCCATGCAGATGTTGATTAATATAAAAGTCTAGATGGTTTGTAAGAGTTACCAAAGGGAAGAATACATTGAATAAAAACCCACAGGTGGTTTCTGTGTTCTATTTCTTAACTTGAATAACTTGTTCTACTTAACTTGAATAACTGGAATGTTTATTATACATTCTCCTGTAAATTTTACAAGTAAAAATCAAGGCCATTAAAATTTTTCCCTTCTTCTGACCTTTAACTGGAACAAGTAAGCTGAATAAAATATACTAATGGCAACACACAAGAAGGAACATAAAAGTATTGATAATTCAATGTTACTGACAATCTTTATAAAGTTCTGTACTTCACCTGAAGTGATCCGATGACATCACAATGGAGGTGTGGATACATCACAGGTAGCATAAATTGTAATAGCTCTCGATACTTTGACTTGTAAAATAAGTTCTAAAGTATCCAAAAAAGTGACTTTACACCAATTACAGTGTTTAAACAAAATAGGTCCTTAGGATACAGCAGGCAAATTCTTAAGTAATTTTTGCCCACTGTCTGGGATGCCTGAGGCCTTCTTTCTGGCTAAGACTGAATCTACGCCCTTTTAAGTTTAAGCAATTCTTTTCTGAAATATCTGTCCCAATAGCCATTCATTTTATATTACTTAGTAATCACTTACTGAATGCCAGGCTCTGTTCTAGACACAGGGATAGAAAGAAACACACTCTGCCCTCAGTGAGCTCTAGTGAGAGGCTGAAAAGATACATCTCAGACGCCAAAGGACTTACAGAGAACATAAAGAATGCAGAGGAAGGTTTGAGCTATTTTGAAAAACATGGTCAGGGAAAAGTTTATAGGGTAGGTGACAACTGAGCACCACCCTTAAGGAAGATTTATTTACAGTTAAGGGCACTTCAGAGGGAACAGCAAGTACCGAGATTCTCATTTCAAGTGATACTTATCGCAGTGACTTGACATTGCTGGTCATATTTTGCTGCACACACCCTGCCTCCTTGGACAATGCTGTCCTTGAAGGTAAAACTCCCTTATTACTTAGGACACCATACATCTAAACATAGAGTTGAAGTTTCCAACCACTGTTTATATGTGACTCACATCATAAATATTCCAAAAAGTTATGAACTTAAGAACTTTTTTCCTGATTAAAATCAAGATCTTTATATTTGGAGGATAATCTGCCAAAATCACAATGTTTCTCACCAAGACTAGTGGCTTTTAGTCACATTCTCCTAACTGCAAAATATATAACATGTTGACTTAAACCATTTGAGTCAGGTGTGGTAAAATTAGAAGTTCCACAGATCGAGTGTGAACACCACCAAGTCAAAGTAACATTCCACATCTTGTTAAGATTCTTGTGGTTTAAAAAACCTTCAAATGAGAAAGCTACCAAAATATGTGGTCATCTCTTTAGGATTTAGTACATTCCCAATACAAATATAAATCATCATCTGGCCCTTTGCTTCCACAGGTTGGCATTTAAATTCATGCTTTCCAGTTTTCTACTTCTGTAATGACAAGCTCTTCAGCCAGTTTTTTTTTTTTTTTTTGTATCAATGTCGGTAGAACACCTAATGCTACTGTTTTCCACAACTCTTTTAAATTCTACAGTAATTACTTAAGATTTAGAATACATAACATACAGAGAAAGATAACATCTATCAGCTTAGGAAAAGCCACAATCAAATTATAGATGAAGGCACTTCCTAACAATTTAGATATCAAATATAGCTCACCTGCTAAGAATGGTTGTGCCCCAGCCATTCTGTACCCTGCTCAGACCAACACTGTCCAGAATTTTTTTTTTTTCCAGAACAGTCCAGATAACAAAGCATTAGTCACAGACACATGAACAAGGGTCACTAACAACTTGTTTGTTGCAAGAAAGTCACAGCTTACCAAATAATTAACAATTGTGATGGTGTCATTGCTTGAGCCTTGAAAAAGTTAAAAAAATCTCACCAAAAGACAGGGAGTTTTTTCAACTATGTATTTTAATCAGTATGAATGGTTCCAAGCATTAAATAATACTGAAAAGACAAGCTTTCTAGTTTGAACTTAATATTTCTGATTTTGAGCCAGGTACTCACTGAAGCCAAGGAAGTTTTCTTGATTATTTCTTCTGTTTCCTGTCTTCACTGTTCCTAAATTCCAAAAACAAATCAGCCAGTAATTGAGTCCCAATGACCTTGATACTGTTTTACCACCCTTTTGAAATAACCCTTTGCATACAGCAATGGGAAATTTAGCTTCCAACCAGTGGAAACTTCTCAGGGAAGCTCTTCTTGCCACTCTTGTTTCAAATTTGAGTTTTAACTGGGTTACTTTTCAACATACAGGAAATCAAACCACTTAAGTCCTGAAAAGGAGTGGAAAGCTTTCAAAGAAATATTTGAGAACATCTGCAAAAGGCAACTGGGACAACTGTACAAATAAATGAAGAACAAATCAATTCCATTTAAGTTATGAAGGCATTTTTCCTTTAATTTATCCAAACATTTCATGTCCATTGTCATTTATTTAAGCAAATTTAATCCCATAGTATTAAATTCTAAAATATTACAGTATTTACAAGACAGCTGGCAGAGAAAACTTGATGATATAAATACAAATACTGTACTGTTTTTTTTTAAATACCTGCCAATAAAAATGGCAGACTGAACAGTTTTCTCTCTCTGAAGATCCTCGTTCATTTTTTAACATAACGAGAAGTCCCTAATAGGGAAAGCACCTTATCTTAAATGTCCCACTATCATAGCTTTAGACCCTCAACATTCTTCTTCAAGTTCAGCAATTCTTTTTCCTGCCTTCTTTTCTCCAGTTTGAAGGCTAATTTGTTAGCTTTCTTCTCCACTCTCCGTTCCTGTGCAAGAAAATGTTCATGTTATTCAAATCTTCACGCTGATGTAGACTAACTTTACAAAAGAAACTTCCCATGACCATACCTGCCCCGCTCCAGCTCTTTCTAAATCACACATCTGAGAAGATTATTTTACCTTGCGCTCTTCTTTGATAGCTTGCTTTCGTGCTCTTTTATCTTCTTTGCTTTCACTTTTAGAACGTGGTTGGGTTGATATCTTAGGGAGATCACTGTTATTAATCATCTGCATTCGTTCAACTTGCTTTGCTGTGACTCCTTTCTTAGGTAAGACATTGAGAGGTATTCCTGTTTTAGAAGATAGTCGGATTTGTTTGGGCTGAAAGAAAGATAAAATGGAATTGGGCTATTTTCCACTCCTACTAAAAAACAGCTCACTAATGGCCCATTTAGTTGCTTTTCATAATGGCTTTGAAAGCCACAAAGAGGTAAAGCCCTGAGAAAATAATCTGTACACTCCATTTCCTACATTGCATACTTCAAATTGCTCAGAACACTATGCCTTACCTTTGGTTGATATTTGATAAGCTGTGGATGGTTATATAAATTTGAGTATGTACCTTAAAAAAAAACAAACACAAAAAATCATGTATTAACAAGTTCACTTTCAGTTCAGCAAAAACATTACTGAGTTCCTCCTATATTCTTTAGTGTTTTCACAGTTCAAAATAACAATGGCATCTGCTGCATTTTTAAATATTTTGATTTACAACTAAGTAAGTGAAATGAATATTCACTGAAAGGACTGATGTTGAAGCTCCAAATCTTTGGCCACCTGATGTGAAGAGCTGATTCACTAGAAAAGATCCTGATGCTGGGAAACAGAGGACAGGAGTGTGAGCAAACTGCGGGAGACAGTGAGGGCTCAGGGAAACCCGGTGTGCTGCAGGTCCATGGGGTCGCAGAGTCAGACACCACTTAATGACTGAACAAAAACAAACAAGTATTTTCCCAAAATACGTTCTTTTCCAAAAAGTCAATGTACACAATACTTTAAAATTACTATCATACTTTCAGCAGTAAAACGGACACTTAAGATACTTACTACAAATAGACTCACAATCCCACTTCTCTTTGGCTTCTTCAAGAACCACAGTAACAATCTCTTCCTCCTCAGGCCCATCCAGCTCATTCACTGGCAGGTCCTGATCCTCGAAGGGTTCAAGAGTATTCAGTTTTACACAACTTTTGGTTGAGTTTTCCAAAATGAAGACAGAGGAGGGGGGGAAAATACCACTTATTATTACACTATATGTTACTGAAACTGCACTAAAGAGCTAATGAAACAACAGCCTTTTTTCAAATCCACAAACTCATTTGCCCCATCTGTCACTTCCTGTCACAATTAGCTCTATCCAGCCTTGCCTTTCCCCTGTCATTCTGCTGACAGGAAGGAAAAACCTATCTGTATCTTTACACAGTTTTAGCACATTAAACAAGATGGAAGTTTTCCTATATAACATTATCTTTTTCAAAGCCTTGAAAAGCATTAGCCCATCTGTCTCATGAAAGTATTCAAATAACTAAAAAAATGCAACCCTTGTCCTGCACTGGGTTCTACATATGACAGTCATCAGGCAACACAGACCTTTTGAGCAGATGTAAACACCTCATTAGTTTCTCTCAGAGAAATCACCTTGATACAGATGATGATTTACCAAACGTTCAGCTAGAAAGTTATGCTAAATCAGGCTGAAGAGACAAACTCTGATTTATTTCTCAGAACACCTTTTCATGAAAATGAAGAGTATATATACTGAGAAGTCAGAATGATTCTTCAGCCCAAGAGGCTAAAAGCACCATGTCCCCCAAGTGTGCGTGACCTTGTACCTTAACCCTGTTATTCCGTCATGACTCTCAGGTCAAAGCTACAAAAAGTTGGCTCTCAGTGTTTCCACTTACTGTTATATTCGGCTTCAGGACTCTTAATAGCAAAATATGAGTGAAAGGTTAGGGAAAATGTATTATTTTCAAAATATGGATTCTGACTGAGTAATTTTTGAGATTCTGCTGTGCGATTACAGACTTTATTTGAAAATGAAAACAAGCAAGAAGCCAAGGAAAAGTCACCATACTTCTCTGCCTTCTCTTTATAGTAGTCATTCAAAACTTCCTCTAAGCGATTGCTGTCTACTTGAATGGAACCTTCCAATTCAGCATTATCCAGAGCTCCAATTTCATCATCATCATATTGCTCATAAAACTTGAATGTAAAGAGAAAACATAACATGAAAAGGGAATGTAAAGACTATAGCATTTAAATGTTAATTTTACATTTTACTCCTATACAATATTTAAGCACTACCATGAGATCACAACTACTAATAAAGTATTAGGAGAGATTTAGCACCATAATAATATGATGTGGAAGACATTCTACTCAGCATTCTAAAACTGACATCAAGACTGAAAATAGGCTTCCATTTAACATGAAAATGACCACTGATATAAGAAAAAACCCCTACACAATGGGAGAAAATATTTGCAAATGTTAATACTGTTAAGAGGTTAATACTCAACATATATAAACAGCTCATAAAACTCAACATCAAAAAAAAAAAAAAAACAAAACCAAAACCCAAATAATCTGACTAAAAATGGGCAGAAGACATAAACAGACATTATTCCAAAGAGGAAATGCAGATGGCCAACAGGCCATAAAAGATGTTCAAAATTGCCAGTTAACAGGGAAATGCAAACCAAAACCACAATGTGGTGTCACCTCAAACATGTTTGAATGGCTATCAGAAACAATAAAAATAACAAATACTGGTGAGGATGTGGAGAAAAGGCAATTCTCGTACACTGCTGGTAGGAACGCAAACAGGCGTACCCAATGGAGAAAACACTATGGAAGCTTCTCTAAAAACTAAAAGAGAATTACCACATGACCCAGCAATTCCACCTCAGGGTATATATTTGAAAGAAACAAAAACACTAACTTGAAAGATATGTGTATCCCAATGTTCACAGAAGCACTGTAATAGCTAAGCACTATAATAGCTAAGGCATAGAAGGAACCTAAGCACCCATCAACAGATGAAAAAAGATGTGGTATGTGTATACACATGAATGAACACACACTACTACTACTCAGTCATAAAAAAGAATGAAATTTTGCCATCTGCAGCAACATGGATGGACTTAAGGGAGTTATGCTAAGTGAAAGACAAACAGTGTATGATATTGCTCATATGCAGAACCTAAGAAAATGCAATCAACTAGTGAATACAAAAAAGACTCAACATGGAGTACAAACTAGTGGCTACCAGTGGAGAGGGCAGGGACAAGGGGCAAAATAGGGGAAGATTAAGATGCATAAACTATTAGGTGTAAAATAAGGACATACTGTACAACATGGGAGAATATAGCCAATATTTTACAATAACTATAAATATTTTATAATAACTATAAATGGAATATAATCTTTAAAATTGTGAATCACTATATTGTATGCCTGTTATTTATATAACATTGTACATCAACTATACTTTAATTTTTAAAATGAAAGGCAGTTATTGTGTTCAGCTTGAACAAATCCTAGGCAGAAATCTTTACCTCAGAATATTTCAGATACTTCCATATTCACTGATTATGCAAGATAATAGATCATGTAAATAAAAGGTGTTAATGCACAAATTTCACTCTTTGTTTAGATGTTTACTGTATTATTCAAAGGCTGTAAACATTGTCAGGCTTTGTAAAAGCATTAAGCAAGGGGTGATGTAACTCCTGTAAAGTGAGGTTATTAGTTAACAGTTTGCCTATTTCTTGGAGAAAAGAGAGAAATGAATACTCACTGAAAAGGCAAAGTTAGAAACTTTATCTTAGGTATTCCTTGAAGGAATTTATTCATTATTTACGTAACAGTCTGAACTCCTGCCATATGCCAGACACTATATTAGGTATTGGGATATAACAGTAACAAAAACACTCAAAAAAAAACCAGACAAAAACAAAAGGGAAAGCCCAGGCCAATGCTTGAAGATAGCACACTCTTAGAGACTGGGATCAGAGAGGTTCAGAATCAAATTATCAGATTCTACGAGGAATGTCAAGAGGTTTGATCAATCACTTTCTGACTTAAGCACATTCTTTCCAGAATGAAAACTGGGGCCATTTTATGATCTGTTTTTAAAAGACACAGTCTAACACTGAAAGTTCTAGCTTTGGGTTCCAATGTCATAATGTGTACTAGGAACTGGTACTAAAAGGCTCCCCATATTGAGACCTTACCTTTTCAAACCTCTCATCATGTAGGGTCAGCTGTTCATTCCTCCTCATGACTGAGGACGTCAAGGAATACTCAGTAAAGCGACTTTTTGTTTCCTCTTCCCAGAAGAAGTGATTTTCTACAGCCCCAAGAGGTTTTCCAGGGGTAGACATATCCTCATCTGATGAGCCTGCAGGGTCATATCTATCGTCATCACTACCTCCTTCCTTCTCATCATCCACATCTTCCCACTCACTGTCATCTTCAGCCTCAGATTTCCTAAAGTCAGAGCCGTAAATTAACTGTCAAAACAACTTGAAAAACAACAGAACCAAATGACTTTACACAAGTAAAATTTGAGGGTATTTCAGGCAGGATGCTTGTTTAGGCAAGAACAGCTGTGCTGCTTGACCTGTGTGATTTCGTTGGAAAAGTAATGAACTAGCAATCAAGCGACTTGGACTTTAGCCCCATCTATTGATGGCTTGTAAGGACCTCAAGTCTTAAATTTTCTATCCTAAAATGAGAAGACTCAAACTTAATGCTCTCAAAGGTCTCTCCCAGCTATAACTAATGGTTATAGTCCTATGGAAGCAACAGTCAGGGCATTCCTGCTTCAAAACAAACCACACATACTGTATCTCCATTCCCTCTTCCTCTTCTGTTGGCTTATTGGCCTGAAGAATGAAATCATCTTCAAGTAAATTATCCGGATTATCAAAATCAAAATCATCATCAAGAGCTGCAACAATGTCAGGATCAAAATCTAACCGAGGTCCTAGAAGGAAAACAAAAATTGAGAATTTCCAAGAAAGCATGATTCGTTCACTTAACTAACATAATTCTCAGCTATTAACATGCCTGACTCTCTGTACTGAGGATAAAACAGTGATTAAAATTTTTTAAAGTTCAGGAATAAAAACAAAACTGCAAGAAAATTTAAAAAAAGAAAAAGTCCCTCTGGTTCAAGTACCCACTGGTAAAACACAGATCTAAAATATTAAGCTGTGTCTATTTAGCAAAATTCAAAGCTTTTACCCGCAGGAAAAAATTGGGCTTTAAATTCACCTGTTAAAAGCAACTCTCACCTGTTAGAAGAAACAAATTATTAGGCTGGTACAAAAGTAGTTGTGGTTTTGGACTGTGAATTTTAAATCATTATATATAATAGGCTCAAACACATCTTTATTAATCAAGGTAGGAACCATTACAATCAACACATTTTTGCTAATGAGAAATAAGCTTATTCCTATAGTGTAAAAATCCATGCTTCAGGATTCGATGAAACTCTTAGAAAGCATTTTCTGCATCCTATTGGTTGTGGTAGTATTTTCCCTGCAAAGTTGTTGAAACGCTTGAAGAAGTGGTAGTCAGTTAGTGAGAGGTCAAGCGAATATGGCATATGAAGTACAACTTTGTAGCCCATTCATTCAACTTCTGAAGTGTTGGTTGTGTGACATGTGATCAAGTGCTGTTGTGGAGAACTAGACCCATTCTGTGACCAATACTGGCTGCAGGCTTTGTGGGTTTTGGTGTATCTCATTGATTTGCTGAGCACAGTTCTCAGTTGTAATGGTTTTGCTGGGATTCAGAAAGCTGCAGTGGATCAGGCCAGCAGCAGACCACCAACAGTGATCGTGACCTTTTTTTGGGTGCAAGTTTGACTTTGGGAAGTGCTTTGGAGCTTCTTCTCCATTCAACCACAGAGCTGGTCATCCCCAGCTGTTGTATCAAATCCACTTTTTCACTGTATGTCACAATCTGATCAAGAAATGGTTTGCTGCTACATACAATAAAAGATGACACTTCAAAATGATTTGAGTTTCAGTCAGCTCACAAGGCACCCACTTATCAAGCCTTTTCACCTTTCCAATTTGCTTCAAATGTCGAATGACAATAGAATGGTCAACACCGAGTTCTTAGCAGCTTCTCGTGTAGCTGTAAGAGGATCAGCTTTCGTGGTTGCTCTCAATTGGCCACTATCAACTTCCTCTCATCAGCCACCATGCTCCCTCATCTTCAAGGCTCTTGTCGTCTTTGCAAAACTTCTTGAACTACTACTGCACTGTAAGTTTCTTAGCAGTTCCTGGGCCTAATGCGTTGCTGATGTTGTGAATTGTCTCCACTGCTTTACGACTATGACCCAGTTTTGAACTCCAAAAAAAAAAAAAAAAATCGCTTAAATTTGCTTTTTGTCTAACATTATTTCTACAGTCTAAAATAAACATGAAATGAACAGCAAGTAATAAGTCATTAGTAAAAAACACATAAAGCAGGAAATGCACATTAAAATGATGTATAACATAATCACTTTTGCTAAAGAATGGATTCCTGTATCAAAGGGCAAAGTTCAATAATGCAACTCACAATTACTTTTGCACCAACCTAACAAATATCTGTAGCCTGTGAAACTCCTGTCTTTCAGACTTTTTGTCTTTTCAGACTATGAGATTTTAACAAATCCCAATCTGTTTCTTTAGCTGTGTTCTTCTATATGTAAAAATAGTAGAGTCCTAGAAACACTTTCAAGTTCAAACCTGTAAACTGACATGGCTTTCAACACCCTTCACAGAGTGGCCATTACTTGACCTCCAGCCTTGTTTCACATTAACCCTTACCCTTCATTCCAGACCTACTACAGATAAAAGGTGTGCAGATTCCTATACTCATGCTTTTTCTTGGAATAGCCTCTCTTCCCCACCCCACCTCCATCTACCTACTTAAATTCTACCTAAGACATCAACCACGACATCTTTGGGGCTTCACAACAATTCATTCATTTGCACTGTGATTGTAATTTCCCATTCTTTGTCTATCTTTCCCAGCTGATGATAATTAAGAGGTCAGAGACAATGTTTTTTTCTGATTTAACCCAAACTCGGTCATAGTACAACTAAAAAATCTGCAGAATGGATTAAATGAATGAATGACACATGGCAGGTGTTAGTCAATAATTAACACAGTTTAGCAGGAAATATCAACCACCACATCTGTGGACTTGTTTGTTCATTTTAGTCCTGGTACTGCAAAAAAGAACCCAAACATTATTAATTTTTGGTGTATCTAGAATAGATAGTAAGATGGACTTCTATAAAATACTTCTCTACACTCTTGGGAGAAATTCTGAAAGCGAACAGATAAAGTATTTTCATGACTGCACCACATGAATGTAAGACTGAGTATCACTGTTTCCTTTGTGAGAGGTTAGGACAAAGCTAACATTCCCCTACTAGATCACCAAAAATAATTTTCCCACTTTCCTTTCCAAATAGGACCTTTAAAGATTAAGAATTTGATGGCAATAAACAGATGCTGATCACAGTTACCCTTCCTAACTTAATGATCTCTAATCTGAATTCAAACACATCTCAGTTGTTGCAACACTTTTATCAGGGAAAGAAAAACTCTATCATTACTATATGTTGCTTTTTTGTAAAATACATCTCTGTCCACTTGAAGTTAAAATTATACATACCTGAAACAGGAGCTGCTTTATTTAACAATCCAATATCTTCTTCAAACTCTGATGCAAACACTGAGGAAGGCAACTTAATTCCACTAGTCTTGAAAAATAAATTATGCAATGGTTAGATTTATTTAGAAACACTTTTCAACTACTAAGAGTTGAAGTGCCCCCCCAAATTCATGTCCACCCAGTTCAGAAAGTGACCTGGTTTGGAAACAGGTTCCTCACAGATGTAATCAGTTAAGATGAGATGGTACCGGATGATGGTGTGTCCTTATATGGAGGCCACAAGAAGACAGTAAGACACAGGAGGGAAAGCGCCACATGAAGATGGAAGAAGACTGGAGTGCTATCCTACGAGCAACAGGAAACTAAGGGCTGCTGGGAACTACCAGAAACTAGGAGACAGGCACAAAAAGGTTCCTCCTGCGAGGCCCCGAGAAGCAACCACCTTCCGGGCTCCACAACTGTGACAGAACACATCCCTGTTGTTTTAAGCCACCCAGTGGTAATATGTGGTAATTTGTTACGGCAATTCTAACACAACCGTATTCTGCATTGTCTCACTTGTACTCCAGTTACCAGTTTTGAACATGTATATCCCCATCATCTCAAAAGCAACTTCCTTGTAATACTTCACAAAACTTAATCTAGTACATCACTTCACTTACTCCTATCGAACCCGTGAGTTGTTAGCATGTTTTAGTCAAACACAAGCTAAGAAAGGTTAAATGGCATGACTGCCTGAGATTAGTTAAGTGAGGTTTGGGGGATTCAAATCCTGGTCTCGCAACTCCACTCTCTTCAAATTTCAAAACAAAATCAGTCTTTTCCTACGTAAACCAGAGGTAACATCCTCATCTCTGGTATTGGCACTTTTTTTTTTTTCCATTTATTTTTATTAGTTGGAGGGTCATTACAATATTGTAGTGGTTTTTGTCATACATTGACATGAATCAGCCGTGGATTTACATGTATTCCCCATCCCGATCCCCCCTCCCACCTCCCTCTCTACCTGATCCCTCTGGGTCTTCCCAGTGCACCAGGCCCGAGCACTTGTCTCATGCATCCAACCTGGGCTGGTGATCTGTTTCACCCTAGATAATATACGTGTTTCGATGCTGTTCTCTTGAAACATCCCACCCTCGCCTTCTCCCACAGAGTCCAAAAGTCTGTTCTATACATCTGTGTCTCTTTTTCTGTCTTGCATATAGGGTTATCATTACCATCTTTCTAAATTCCATATATATGTTAGTATACTGTAATGGTCTTTATCTTTCTGGCTTACTTCACTCTGTATAATGGGCTCCAGTTTCATCCATCTCATTAGAACTGATTCAAATGCATTCTTTTTTAATGGCTGAGTAATATTCCATGGTGTATATGTACCACAGCTTCCTTATCCATTTGTCTGCGGATGGACATCTAGGTTGCTTCCATGTCCTAGCTATTATAAACAGTGCTGCAATGAACACTGGGGTGCACGTGTCTCTTTCAGATCTGGTTTCCTCGGTGTGTATGCCCAGAAGTGGGACTGCTGGGTCATATGGCAGTTCTATTTCCAGTTTTTTAAGGAATCTCCACACTGTTCTCCATAGAGGCTGTACTAGTTTGCATTCCCACCAACAGTGTAAGAGGGTTCCCTTTTCTCCACACCCTCTCCAGCATTTATTGCTTGTAGACTTTTGGATAGCAGCCATCCTGACTGGCGTGTAATGGTACCTCATTGTGGTTTTGATTTGCATTTCTCTGATAATGAGTGATGTTGAGCATCTTTTCATGGGTTTGTTAGCCATCTGTATGTCCTCTTTGGAGAAATGTCTGTTTAGTTCTTTGGCCCATTTTTTGATTGGGTCATTTATTTTTCTGGGATTGAGCTGCAGGAGTTGCTTGTATTTTTGAGATTAATCGTTTGTCTGTTGCTTCATTTGCTATTATTTTCTCCCAATCTGAGGGCTGTCTTTCACCTTGCTTATAGTTTCCTTTGTGGCACAACTTTTCTGAGTTGGCTGCTTAAATGCTAGAAGATCATAAATCATTGTGACCCACTCATTGTTTTGAACTCCTGCATACAGTTACTTCACATCTATTTTCTGGGCACCATCTTACTCATGGCTAACCAGGGCACAGATGACAGTTAGATGCTGCTTAATCTACCTCTAGTCCAATCTTTTATTCAGTTCAGTTGCTCAGTTGTGTCTGACTCTTTGAGACCCCATGAACTGCAGCGTGCCAGGCTTCCATCACCAACTCCCCGAGTTTACTCAAACTCGTGTACATTGCATCAGCAATGCCATCCAACCATCTCATCCTCTGTTGTCCCCTTCTCCTGCCTTTAATCTTTCCCAGCATCAGGGTCTTTTCAAATGAGTCAGTTCTTCACATCAGTGGCCAAAGTATTGGAATTTCACCTTTAGCATCAGTCCTTCCAATGAACATTCAGGACTGATTTCCTTTAGGATGGACTAGTTGAATCTCCTTGCAGTCCAAGGGACTCTCAAGAGTCTTCTCCAACACCACAGTGCAAAAGGATCAATTCTTTGGTGCTCAGCTTTCTTTATAGTCCAACTCTCATATCCATACGTGACTACTGGAAAAGCCATAGCTTTGACTAGTCAGACTTTTGTTAGCAAAGCAATGTATGCTTTTTAATACGCTGTCTAGGTTGGTCATAACTTTCCTTCCAAGGATTAAGCGTCTTTTAATTTCATGGCTGCAGTCACCATCTGCAGTGATTTTGGAACCCAAAAAAATAAAGTCTGTCACTGTTTGCACATCTGTCTGTCATGAAGTGATGGGACTAGATGCCATGATCATAAGTTTTCTGAATGCTGAGTTTTAATCCAACTTTTTCACTCTTCTCTTTCACTTTCATCAAGAGGCTCTTTAGTTCTTCTTTGCTTTCTGCCATATGGGTCATGTCACCTGTGTAACTGAGGTTACTGATATTTCTCCCAACAACCTTGATTCCAGCTTGTGCTTCATCTAGCCCAGCGTTTATCATGATGTACTCCGCATGAAAGTTAAATTAGCAGGGTGACAATATACAGCCTTGATGTACTCCTTTTCCTATTTGGAACCAGTCTGTTGTTCCATGTCCAGTTCCAACTGTTGCTTCCTGACCTGCATACAGGTTTCTCAAGGGGCAGGTCATGTGGTCTGGTATTCCCATCTCTTTCAGAATTTTCCACAGTTTATTTTGATCCACACAGTCAAAGGCTATTACTGCCAGATTAAAACTCCTTGTCTACTCTGTGTGTCCAGACTCCTTACTGTTACTCAGTAATGGAACCTCCACATAAAATCAAGTCCAGTTCCTTACATCATGGAATAATTCAAAGTAATTTATGGAGCACACATGTGCTAGCCACAATGACCCACAATACTACCTCATGTCCCTTCCTTCTGACTGGAATGATCCTTCTCTCTTCAACAGAATCCACCCTTTTCAGCGGCCAGCTCAGTTTCTTCGTTCTCCATGAAGCTCTTCTTGATTACTGTTCTGGAACTTTCCTCAGTGTCAACTCTCTCATTCTGCACACCATACAATCTACTTCAACATGGGCTGGCACATATTTTCTGACTGGTCCCTAAGCTTTAGTCTCATCTTTTCAGCCACAAAGTTGATAATGTGAGAGTCACCACAATGTGTTCTCTGTCTATGGACCTCAAAACTGTCCCATCCTCAGTCAAGGAGCAGACAGGAAGCCAAGCTGCACATTCTCACTGGCTCACAGAGCCTGCTGGAAGCCACTGAAGAGCACGAGGGCCTATCCAGTAAGCTGTTATGGCTTCTAAAGAGTTTTTCAGGTGTGGAGCATGGGCAAAGATCTGGCTTTCTGCTGTGGAATCCTATTTCTTAAAAGATTTACTGAGATATAGTTCATATATTACACAATTCAGCCATTTAAAGTGCATAATTTCATAATTTTGCCACATATTACAATAACTTTTTTAAAACTGTGGTAAACTATGTACTTTTAAGACACTTTGTGATTATCTATCCTTGGACTCTGGGGTTAAAAAGAGGAGGATCAGCTTGGGCTTAATGAATTACCTTTGGAGAAAAGAATCATACATACAGAGTTTAGACAGTAATTACATTTTGGATAAAGGCCTGTGACTTTTTTAGTGGTTCCAACGATTCTGAATTGCTCTCTGCTGTGACAGTACCTGCTTTGCTTCATGAAAAAATCAGGGACTGATCACACTTTACTAATTTCTTCACTGCCTTTCTGTACTGCTTTACTTTCTGTTTTTAGGGCATATTCAATACTCCTGGTTTACTCACTTTGGTGGTCTGTTATACATTACAGTTGAAGAAACACATGGGACTCATCCATATTTTTGCATCATGCTACAAAAAACCAATGGCACTTGTTTTTCAAACATAATCCACATATCCTTGTAAACATCACTGAAGTGCCCTTTAATAGTCTTACTCTGTTAGAAGAGTTAATTCATTAGATAGTGGTTACTTTTACCCAAAATGAATTAAATAGTCTTTTACTGGCCAATACAATTTAGCCAGAAGAATGTAAGGAATTCACTAAAACATTTATTACTTAGGATAAAGAAATTGAGCCACTTTCCCTCCTTCAAAGGGTCACTGGAAGGAAATGAGTCAATAAGATACACATCCTACTTCGGATGTAACCGGTTTGGGGAAGAAGGTATAGAGAAACAGGTTCTGGTAAAGATGTGATAATGGGGTGTGTGGCCTCCCAAAAGAGCTACGACCTAGTGAGTGAATGAACAGGCAAACAGTTACTATTAATACCTCTCTGGTATAACATGCTGATGCCTAACCCTTTTGACTTATCTTAAGCAACAAGTATGGACTGGAGAAGCTTAAGATCACATCTTTCCCAAGGAAAAAAATGTCTAGACCATGGCAGGACTGGAGATGAGAAGCAGGGGAAATTGATGCTCTTTGCACCTCTCCTTTCTGTCTATAAATCCAATATATTCATCTTTTTTAAGTGCCAAAAGTGATATACAAGTTTCACAGGAAAATTTACTATACACTAATACTAAACTAAAAATAAGGACTTCCCCGGTAGTATAGTGGCGAAGAATCTGCCTGCCAGTGCAGAGAACATAGGTTTGATTCTAGGTCTGGGAAGATCCCACCTACTGTGGGATCAGCTAAGCCCGTGCTTAGAGGCCACGAGCGGCAACTACTGGGCTCAGATTCAGCTCTCCAGCTGACACCACTTCTTGCCTCAAACAATTACCTTGATTTAAAAGTGGTGGTTTACTCACTCACGGCCCCTCACACACACTCACACTCAAATTGCTAAAAAGTCTTACTGAAGTTACTAAAGGCTCTTCTCGCCCATCTCCCCTGTAAGGTGCACCGACGGTACTTGTGGGAATCAGCTCCGAGGGCCCAGAGGGTTCCTTCAGGTGCTGCAGGTAGTCATAGTCGTCGTCGAAGAACACTCCATACTTCCTCTGCTCCGCTCGCCTCTCCTCCTCTTTTATCTAGGATAATAAACAACATGGACACAGTGCCTGTTCCAAGGATAAGGCCCAGGAACCTTCCAATGAGCACAGCTTTCAGAACACGGGGCAGATGACCCATGAACACTCTGGCTGATAGGAATGAGATAAAGACTTAGACTCAGGAAACACAGGATGCCACATAAAATGAAAATGGAATAAAAACAGTTCCTCCTTCCATTAGACACTTCTGTGCAACAAGTCAAGCCGAGAAACACACACACACTATTTTACTATGTTATGTGGAGAATTAAAAGACTAGGGCGCACTGAAAGGTAAGTACAATTTCCTGAATTTATATGCAAAGAAACTTGATGCATAACACCAACTGGCTTTACAAAAAAGCTAAATATGCCTGGGTTCCCCAATACTTCCTTCCACATTACCCACACTTAACAAGTATACTCTGACTGATAATTACCAAATCAACCTCTTAAAAGCTCCCTTGCATTTTCTAAAGCTAACTCATGAGTTTTACATTTCATGAGATGACCAGGAGGCAAAAATGCAGTTTGTGGTTATGAAATGCCAATATCTCATGGAGAGCAAAGACTTAGCATATGGTTGTGTCCTAAATAACAGAATAAAGCATTGTGGCTGATGGTTTAGTAAATATTTTTCCATTACTCTACAAGACTTCTCACTTAAACATCTACAATAAAAATATTCTCTCAATCAAAATAAACATGTATGATGTAAAAATGAACATATTTACTGAGAATTAAATCACATATTTTGTTTCCAAGAAGATAAGTTATCTGAGAACAGCAGCTGACTAATATAATTAAAAACTATCAACAAACCACCTACAAACTTACTGGCTTAAGAACAGGACCTACCTTCTGTGTAGGCAACAGAACCCTCTGGGGTGCAGTCTCGTCTGCTGCTAAAGGATCTCTTTGGCTCCGGTGGACCAGGTGAAAAGACACAGCTTTCTTCTTCTCTATAAAGGGCTTTTTCTTCCTGTGAGGCTTCAAAGAAACAGAATCACAGTAATTAATCAGAACAGCAGCAAAAAACACTGATTATACCCCACACAGGCATCTTCAATAAGTTATGGGAAGGATCAACAGATTGTCAAAACCTGCAGTTTAAAAAAAAAAAAAACTATCTTCCTTCAACAAACCTTTGTTGGGAGGTACTCCGTGCCAAACCTAGTTACAGGTGCTGGGAATGTAGCAATGGGAAAGTTAAAGTTTCTGTTCTCCACAAGCAAATCACTGAGAACGGGGTTTCAGGTGAAGGCAAGCAAAACGAAAGACAGGGAAGCGTACCAATTCAACAGTTACTTTCAAATGGGGGCTCAGAGAAGGTCCCTGAGAGTCTGAACCAGAATGGGGGTCCAACACAGGAAAATCTGAGGAAGAGTTACAAGGAGGAGAAACACTTCCCGTACCAACTATTAAAACCACGACACAACAGCTGAAGTTGAAGTACAAGATTCACCATCGTTCTACCTTCTCGTTTCACTACACACCCTCGAGTTTCTAAAGTGAAAGATCATTCCAGTTGAGTAGGCCCAATCTTAGAAGGTCCTCTTCCCCAGAGTAGACAGATGAGCAGACACCTGCCACTGCAACGTCTGGAGAGGCGAGCAAACCCCTCTCCGCCTGACGCCACGAAGCACTGGGTGTCGCATCTGTGTGCCCTGTTATAGGTTTTTAGGCCTCTAGGAGGGTAAAGGGTAGGCCATCCTCTTCTGTCTACTCCACAGGAAACGCTAGGCCGTGGAAGCCCCACTCTAAACTGCAAACTATGCCCGCGGTGGTGAGGGTGACCCAAACTGGGACAATGGGCCAAAAGCCGCCTGGCTTCACCTTCGGACGTGCCATCCCAGTTCCAGGATGCAGAAGCCATTGGCTTAGGGGACCCAGCCTGGCCTCTGCCAAAACAGGGCGCCCCAACTCCTACTTACCATGCTTGCAGCCGCGCGGCGCTCACGCCAAACAGGGACGACAGCACTCTCCTAGTCGGACGGAAGGTGACACGGTACCTCCCGACCGCCTCTGAAAATCAGCTCACCGCCCGGTCTTTATTCCACTCCACACGTGCGGCTCCGGGAACCGGCTGGAAACCACTCAGCAGGCCGTGGAGATGGACCAATCCCCGAAAGGCTGAAGCATCACAACCGGAAATTACGCAAAGCTCACGCCGGCTCAAGGATCGCGAGAAGCTACTGGTGGGTGGGACTGTTTCTCTCTCGGAGGGCGGGGCTTTTCTGTCAGTAATTAAATTAGCTGGGGACGGGAGTCGTGGGCGCCTGTGCGAGATGAGGCGCGAAAGGGGGTCGCTGTTTATGGGCGAACTTGCTTTTATATCGCCCTCTGCTGAAAACAGAAGCCACGGAGCCAGCATCCCCATTGACGGTTGTATTTCCTGCCTATTCCTCGCCGTAAGCAAGACAAACAGAACATACAAATAAACTACACAAAAGAAAGGTGGCCACTCTCCTGGGTCCCCGACGTTTCAAGTTCCCTATTTGGGTGGGACTCAGAGCTGGTTGCCTTAGCAACGGAGGATCCTCAGTTCAGTTCAGTCGCTCAGTCGTGTCCGACTCTTTGCTAGCCCATGGACTGCAGCACGCCAGGCTTCCCTGTCCATCACCAATTCCCAGAGCTTACTCAAACTCATGTCCGTTGAGTCGGTGATGCCATCCAACCATCTCATCCTCTGTCATCCTTTTCTCCTCCTGCCTTCAGTCATTCCCAGCATCAGGGTCTTTTCAAATGAGTCAGTTCTTCACATCAGGTGGCCAAAGTATTGAAGTTTCAACTTCAGCATCAGTCCTTCCAGTGAATATTCAGGACTGGTTTCCTTTAGGATGGACTGGTTTCATCTCCTTGCAGTCCAAGGGACTCTCAAGAGTCTTCTCCAACACCACAGTTCAAAGCATCAGTTGTTTGGTGCTCAGCTTTCTCTATGGTCGAACTCTCACATCTATACATGACTACTGGAAAAACCAAATCTTTGACTAGACAGACCTTTGTCTGCAAAGTAATGTCTCTGCTTTTTAATATGCTGTCTAGGTTGGTCATAACTTTTCCTCCAAGGAGTAAGCATCTTTTAATTTCATGGCTGCAGTCACCATCTGCAGTGATTTTGGAGCCCAAGAAAATAAAGTCTCTCACTGTTTCCCTTGTTTCCCCATCTATTTGCCATGAAGTGATGGGAGAAGATTCCATAATATCAGTTTTATGAATGTTGAGCTTTAAGCCATTTTCATTCTCCTCTTTCACTTTCATCAAGAGGCTCTTTAGTTCTTCTTCGCTTTCTGCCATATGGGTGGTGTCATCTGCATGTCTGAGGTTATTGATATTTTCTCCTGGCAATCTTGAGTCCAGCTTGTGCTTCATCCAGTCCAGCATTTCTCATGAAATGGGGCCTTGCTATTCTAGGCAGCACTTAGGCTTAATCAGGTCTTCATTTTCCGCTTAGTGAACTGTGTTCAAACATCCAGTTAATAACCCTTCCCCCCAACTCTGTTGACAGTCAAGGAATTCCGACTAATATATTCAGAATCTTTGGTGTTTGCATACCTTAGCTTGGGAGGTGGAAACTAATGTTTAGTCTTTTTCAAGCTATCCCTCAAACATTTGGTCATAGTTTAAGCAAAGGCTATAAGCATATCTACTTAGGGCTTCCCTCATAGCTCAGTTGATAAAGAATCCGCCTGCAATGCAGGAGACCAGGGTTTGATTCCTGGGTCAGGAAGATCGCCTGGAGAAAGAAATGGCAACCCACTCCAGTATTCGTGCTTGGAGAATCCCATGAACAGAGGAGTCTGGCAGACTACAGTCCATGCGGTCGCAAGAGTCAGGTACAACTTAGCAACTAAACCACCACCACCACATCTACCTATTACCACCACAAGATTTAAGATGGGTGCTGGCCCACTCTCAGAGCTTTTCCTGGGCAAAAGAGGGTGGTAGTGTAGTCAAGTTTTATCAGCAGGCCTTTCTTCAAATTTGTGTTTCCTCTTCCCAATTTCTGGTGTCTTTCCAAAGTCTAAGTTTCCTTGAATTGTGTCTTTATGTCCTACCTATGGTGGTGCAGTGGTAAAGAATCTGATTGCCAATATAGGAGGTGCAAGAGACATGGGTTCCATCCCTGGGTCAGGAATATATCCTGGAGGAGGAAATGGCAACCCACTCCAGTATTCTTGCCTGGAAAATTTCATGGACAGTGGAGCCTGGCAGGCTACATTCCATGGGGTCGCAAAGAGTTAGACATGCATTACTATTGTAAATTTCTATGGAATATTATACTTTTATTACAGTGAAAATTACAAACAATTTAGGATCACAGAACTTGTGTTGGAATAATGCTTTGTAACAATGATACTGTCAATACAGAACACTCCTATGTGCTACACATTCAGTATAGTTAAGCTTCATGAGTGCAGGTTTTGTTTTGATCTGTTTTGTTTACTACCTTATCTATCTTCAGGACCTAAAATAGTGCCTGGTGGGTACACTCAATAAATACTTGTTTAAATGAAGTAACGTTCTGACACTTAACCTGAATTATCTTAGATCTTCCTGACCATAGTACTATGAAAGAGGTACTGTTATAAACACTGAGAATCAAAGCAAGTCAGATTAGAATTGGATAGGTTTGTTTATCTAAAAACATGCATCATTTTCCACTGAAACACAAATTTCTCCCTATAATATTGAATAATAATAGTAATATACTTGGTATACTAGCTGAAATTGGTTTCTGGCCTTTGTTTTACTCTTATTGTGTAACCTGGGGCAAGACACCTTCAGTTTACTGACCTGAATGTAAAATGGGATGAGAATATTATTAACAGTTACCTCATGGGATTGTTGTTGGGTTAAGTGAGAAACCACATGTGAAATGTCTGGACCTGTGCATGGCTTGTGATCAGTGCTCCATGAAGGTGGAGCCATTGTTCTCATCTCAGCTAAGTGTAGTTGTTTACCTATCATCATTGTTGCCTTCGAATCACCAGCTCCTGAAACTAGGGCCTTCAGCATCTGAGACCTGTTGATGAATATGTGCTCTGCCTCACATCACATTCACATCATAGGAATCTGTAAGCTTGCATCTTGACCCAAGCTATCAGCTTCCTGGAATCCTAAACCTTTTGCTTTCCTTTCATTTCTGGCACCTTTCATGTCACTTAAATTACATGCATAGCTCTTTTACTTGCTTCTAGTCCATAGTACAGAGAAGGCAATGGCAACCCACTCCAGTACTCTTGCCTGAAGGATCCCAGGGACGGGGGAGCCTGGTGGGCTTCCATCTATGGGATTGCACAGAGTTGGACACGACTGAATTGATTTAGCAGCGGCAGCAGTCCATAGTAATTGTTATGTTCTTTAAAATTCTTTTTAACTGCACATTGATATTGCTTGGCTTTATGCTGACTGACTCCTGTTCTTAGAGTCACAAGTACATACATTTTATTGGTGAATACACTTTGGAAATACTGATCCAAATTAATTTTCTTTACTGTATCTTTCCAATTATAAAATGATTTTTGAGTGTTCTTTGGTACATTTCAGTTGTGTTCAAAGCACTCAGATGATGTGTAAATGAAATGATTTTACAGTCTTGGAGACAAACTCAGGTGATGAAGAAGTAGTTTATTAAAATTTCATTGTAGTACTTTCTTCATGGTCTTAGGTCACATTGTCTATAGGGGTGTTTTTATCCTTTTCCACAACTTCCGTTACATGTGTTGATGATTCTCATCTTCCTCTCTATAGCCCAGACCTTTTCCCTGACTTTCAGAGTCACATATTCAACTGTACATCTATTGGCATATAGCTGTAGATACTAACATTTCATAATTGAATAAATACTCTAGGGAGAAAAAAACTGACATTTTCAGTGCTCGTTGACATAATGGTGTGTTCCTGGATGAACTTTTGACTTTGGTTGGCCCAAGTCAGACAATCTTGAATAGGGAGTCCTCAACATAGAAAATAATTTGCCCCTAATTGTTCTTGTAGGTATACTCAGCAGTTCAAATTCAAGCCATAAATGATCCTTTCCCATAGTTTAATAAGTCTGTTACCTCTTTAGTTTAGTTCCTGATTCCTTTGAAATCTTGGTCATTGCCTCACTGAGTCTTCTCCAACCTTTATTAATCTTGCTACCATATTATTCTTTCTTAAAGACAACTCTTGTATTATTCAGATTCAGAATTTTCCAATGAGTCTCCGCTGCCTATTCAGTACCTCCCAGGGGCCTTAGTCAGCCCTCAAGATCTGCAGTTTCACCACAGACCATCATTTCACACTACCTTCCTTTTATTTTTCACTCAAATTGAATGAGACCAATTTTCCCCCAAGTACAGTATGGACTCTTTCAGCATTACTTTGCTTACATCATTCTCTCCAACTGGAATTTTCTTCTATTTTGTAACATCCCACTCATCCTTTTAGGAGGGATTGAAATTCTTCTCCCACTGTTTGGTTCCTAGAAAAGCCACCACTTACAGCAAAAGAGCAAAAAACCTTTACATAAACATTACATTTTAAACCTTTCTCTAGAGTTTTATGCATTCTACTACTAGTGTCCACTTTTTACAGGACAGACTTCAAAGTTCACAAACTGGACAAGGACTTGGGTTGTCTGAACAGCAGTGCTGGTGGTAGCAACTCCATGCCACGTCTGAGTTGAGGTCCCACGAACAGTTTAGTCAAATTTAATAAAATTTCATAAATTTGATGCTACAAAAGCACTGCAGAAAATGAGAAAATTGTCTCTTACCTCCATTAAGTTTTATCTTATTTATTTATTGGCTGTGATGCACAGCATGTGGGATCTTAGTTCCCAGATCAGGGACCAAACCCACACCCCCTGCACTGGAAGTGCAGAGTCTTAACCACTGGGGAAGTCCCTCTGTTAGGTTTCACAGAGTAATGTTTCCATCACTGATTCTTT